CAGGAACGGATCCTTTTGCCTCTCTTGCTCACCATGCTAGATACACTACCCAGAGCAACGGCCACCACACAGGAGACGCCTTCTCCATAGCTAATGTGTTTATAACCTGGAGGGAGGGCAGCACATTTAAGTTGCAGAAATAAGGGCAGTGTGGCTAGAGTTCAGAGAAGAGAGGCGAGAAGAACACAGCATGGGGCCAGGGAGGCAGGAAGGCTTGGACCAATACCCTACACACAGGATCTTCACATCGCAACACTTTGACCCTATTTGGGCTGCCACGTGAACTCTTCCTTGATCCTCGTTATCCATTTCCCAACTGTCGGGGAATATTTTAGTGTTACATATAACGTTATATAATAACATTTATATATAACTATGTGTTATACCTAATGGAAGGAGCACATTCTTCATTTTAAGTTGGTTTGAATGTGGTTTTGAGCTCCTGTAACCAACACATCCCCCAATTATTCTGCCTCTCAGAGAAATTCTGTTCACATAACCAATTCTAACCCAAGTGATAGGTGCACTATGCAAAGGGCTTGGCAGCAGAGCCACCAGCCAACAGCATCACAATGGGGAACAAGAATCACAAACAGAATCAATAGTCTAAAGCTGATTCCCATGAGGTACCGATTAGGCCTATCCCTGCTCCCCAGCGTTTTCATCAATTTTGATATCAACCATTCCATGACACTCTCTACTTCTCTGCTAGATTTGCTAATTGATTCTAATAGCCACATAGAAAAGACCATACTCACTATGGGAGTTACTAGGGAGTAACAAGTTACAGTTCAGGTTCAGGAATGCCCAGGATACAATTCTTTGATCTGGGCAGCCTCTTCTCAGTGGTGCCGGAAGGCATGTCTCTCTGCTAAGTGCTACAAAGTTCTTAAACAGCACAGCCAAGAAATACGCAGACACTCCACTCCACCAGTAAGCCTACAGGCTCTCGGCTCAAGCTCCACCTGGTGCCCAGAGGCACTCTAGTCAGCCAGCGAGCTTCCTGCCTGATGGTCCTTCGCTTTCTCATTCTGGGCCAGGAAACCCAATGGCCTTCACCTGCCAATCCTCTGCTTCTTACCATCTGTTGCTTGTGTTAATGCTGCCTCTCTGTCACCTGGGTCAGGGAGGTCTCAGAGCAAGCGTTCACAAGAATGTGTTCTACGCTTGTCTCTTCTTCTTCGTGGTTGTGTGGTCCTCCCTTCTCTACTCTGGGAAGGCTCTTTTTTAAGCTTAGCAGGAACACAATACTCACCAGTCCCCCTTTTAGGGTTCTATACCTTATTTGCATGGCCCCGCCCCCACAAGGGTACCATGTACCTTATTGGCACTATTAGCAACCAATCCAAACTCCTTAGTCCCAGTCAATCTTTTGGTGAGTGGCATAACATCAAGGTAGAGCAGCCATATAAATGGCATCTCACACCACTTGTGCTGAGAGAGTCCTGAGAAGTTCAGACTTCTGAACTCGAGAGAAGTAACTGACTCTACTAAAGGGCACAAGGAGTGCTACAGAGCCTGGGTTTTGTGGAACAGAAGCACCGGAGTCCACAAAAGGTACCCCCAACTGGTTCCAATAAAGGAAGGGAGTGTTACAGCCGACTGCCACTAGAGACAGTTGAGTGGAGAGGATCATGAGTCCGATTCTGAAGAACATTCTGAGGAATTGACACCTTCATCTACAAAGAAAAATGGGGGTTGAGGAGGAACAAATGTTTCACAGTGAAAACATTGATGGCACAGGGATGGGGGCAGGAAGAGAGCAGCCTGGGTGGCTCTTGCGTTCTCCCACCAACTCGCCCTCCAACCAAACTCCTCACT